CTCATCTACAGCATGAGGAACAAGGAGCTGAAGGATGCCCTGAGGAAGCTGTTTTCATGGACATTTTTCAGCAGTGATAAACTCCCCATTTCTCTCTGGAAATGATTTCCAATATATCCCACACCAGGCCTCAGGGTTGGTTTGGTTTTTTTTTTTTTTTTTTTTCATGTATTAGTATTATAATTATTGATAATACTTCTATTATTATCATAATCAACTTCATTATCATTATGTTCCCACTATGTTCCCATTGTGTCCATCCCACTTCTGCAGAAGCATTAATCTTTTCTGTTTCCGCTGGAGCCCATGTAAATGTATTTTGAACTCTCTCACAGCATCTCTATAATAAAATCAGATCTCAGCAGTAGAACATTTGAAGTCTGGGCTCTTCTTCCAATGTGGATGTGAACAATAGGACCAGGGAATTACATTCTGAAAAGAGACTTTTTGGTTATGATTCTCCATGGCTTCAGGAGCAAAGAGCTTCCAGACACCTTGTGACCTGTTGAGACTGACCTCTGCACTCCGCTGTCAGCACTTGTGACAGTGAAGATGGTGAGTGGGCACTGAGGTACATACTCAGGCCTGTCCCACATGGGAGGTGGCAGGTGATGTCCTTCAGGAGGGGAACCTGAAGCTCGATGGAGAGCATGGGGGGTCTCCAGGGACACTGTGTGACTGGGGTGACCAGGGAATGGAGCCCCACAAAGTGTGAGATTCTCTGAGGTCGAGTCACCCAAAAGTTTAGTCCCAGTATCCACAGGAGAACGTGGATTCTGAAATCCCAGGAGATGGGGAAGGGAGGCTGGTGAGTGATTCATGTCACCATTAGTAAAGTACAGCTGATAGAGCTAGAGATAGACCTGGTGCCTTTGGAAATGCTCCACGGTCCCTCCAAGCACCACTGTCAGGGCCTCGGGAATCCATCCAGCCCGCACACCCCACGTGGTCCTCAGTGATGTCACAGCCCCACAGGGAACCCCCATCTCACAGAGTTCCCTGTGATGTCACTGCCCAGGCAGGGACCCCCCCACTCCAGTGATGTCACAAACCAACGGGGAACCACTCCCACCTTGAAGGATTCGCTATGTGAGAAGTAACGGTAGAATTTTGCTTTCGCTAACAGTAATGAAAGAGGTACTTTTATTGAATTAGGCTAAAGCTGTTATTAAATTAGTGTTGCTAAAATTATAACAGTTGAGCACGCCTTTTTTGATCAGAGGTCAGGCATAGGGTTGGGCATTGTGGGGAGCTGGGCAAGCAGGAGGATGGGAGGTGTGTCTGTGGTTAGGTATCTTGTAAAGAGGAATGAAAGCCAGCAGAAAAGGGTTAAGCGAAGAACTCCTGATGAAGTGGAACCTGGACTTCATCCCCTCCACCAACCCCCCCACACTCAGAGGACCACCGACACCAACTGGAAATGCCAAAGAAGAGGGGGGGGAAGGAAAGCGAGTGGAGTTGTTGCTTGGCTTGGTTGTGTTGCATTGTTCTTTGTTTGATTTCATGTTTAAACCGAACAGTTACATATAACACTGTGGATGCCTCCCCCGCTCAGCAGCTGCCTGTTTTGTGATAAGAAGTACTGAAGCAGTGGAAAAGTACAGAGAGAGAGAGACAGCCTCAGAGAAACCAAGGAAAAGGAACTGCGCGGGTGCAAAAAGGAGGACTGGAACTATAAAAAGAAGCCCCTGCTGGGGCAGGTTGTGCCATTGTGCCCAGCGCTGTATTCTTTGCTCCACTGACTCTGTCCCCAATAAAACATATTTTGAAATATACGTGGGCTTGTTTCTCACAACTGGGGGCTCCCCCGGGATACAGAATTCATCACCCCCAGCCTCTCTCACTGGCCACTTCCAGCACTGGCTGCTCACCCAGGTTTATGGGTGAGCGTTGCTGCTAAACCATCTCCATCCTCCTGCTGGTCTCAGTGCCTGTATGGGGGGACCAGCCAGCCCTGCCCGGCCTCTCTTCTGGTGCAGACCCTGGCAGACTGAAGAGAAGGGCGGTCTGTGAATCCCCACAGGGGACACAGCTGGGGTATGGAAAGGGTTGGATAATGGGGGAGTCTGCAAAATGTACGTTATGAGGTTATGTCCTGCCAGGGCTATGGGGGGGACGATGAACTGATTGCTCTCATGGACAACGTAATGGGGGGAACTTCAGAAACACCTGAATACACCAATAAGCCCATGGCACTTTCATTCCCTCTTCAAAAATATAGACTTATACATCCATTTCTAAACCACATTTCCTATTTATATTTTGAATGGAGAAATTGTTTCCAAGACATATTTCTATTAAGACATTTAATGTCTCCATTGCATCTAAACAGAGCTGAGAGCAATGGAGGTTGAAGAGGTTACATAGAGCCCACTAGTGTTTCCTTGCTATCAAGCAAAGAAAGCATTTGTAGCATTTTCCTCATATGTCCCCTGGGTTTGAGCTGGCCAAATCTGTATGGGGTGGACAATGAGTTCAATGTACTCAGGGTTGTCAGGAAAGGCAGGCCTTGCCACAACAGTGGTCAAACTTTCCGGCAGTTCAGAAGTTACAGCCTCATTTGAGTACTGGTTTAGCAATGCTTCCTCCCTGAAGTGCCTGGGGAGAGCTGAGCTGTGCCTGGATCCTTGAAGGAACTGTTGGTGCTATAATCTCCAGGTCACAGTGCAGAGCAGGGGGCTTTTTTTTTTTTTTTTTTTTTTTTTTTGCTGCTGGTGCATCACTGAATCAGCAAAGGGAAGGGGCAGAGCAGGGCATTAGGTCTGAGTAAGGGTTTGCAGAGAGATCACGGAAGGGATGATGTGGTGGGGTAGAAGCAGAGAGTGAGGCCCCAAGGTCTTTGTTCCCAGGCACCATCAGCACAGAGGTCAACCGTCATGCTGAGCATTGCAGGTGGGTGCTGGATGTCCCGAGTCAGGGAACTGCTGATTTTGCTGTGGGTGTTTGGGCAGTGAAAGTGTGTGAGTGAGAGCTGAGTCTCAGCCCTGTCTTGTGCTGCACATGTCCCCAGCCCAGCTCCCTCTTTCCCCCGATACCCTGAGACCCAGTAACTTCCAGCAGAGATGCTGGGGAGGGGCTGGTGGTGCTGAGTTCCAGCTGGGCTGGGCTGTGTTGGAGCCAGCCCGGGCACTCACCCACCTCAGCTGGGATGGGGGAAAAGTCAGTGCAGGGTCTTTGGCGCCAGACCACCTGAGCCCTTCTCCTCCCACAGGACTCTGTCTTTTATTAGCTTTCTTTTTCTCTCCCTTCCTCACCATTCCACAAGCTCAGACCCTCAGCTTTCTGACATGGACTCTCACTCGTCCAGTGGGGAGGGCTGGAGGCTTTACTCATCCTTGTCAGCTCTGCCAAAGCTGTTTGTCCTTCTCTCTTCCAGAAGTAAAACTTTCCCTGTTGGGAGTTGGGTTTGACAACACTGAGAGCACCATGTATTTCAAGGAGCACAGCTGGTGAGGCTGCTTCTCAGGCAGGCACTTTCCCTGGCTGTGCCCTCAGGCATGTCCCGGGCATCGCCCATGGCCCTGAGCCTGCTACTCTCCCACCTCAGCCCCAGGCACCCCCAGGACACCCCACCCAGTGCCCGGCAGTGCTGAGCAGGGAGCCCTGCGAGCACAGCTGGCTGTACCAGGTCCTGCTGCTGGGCTGGATGTACAGGGGGGCAGTCCCAAAGCCCTGGGGACCCTGTGCCGAGGAGGTGAGCATGGGGAGTGAGTGGTCCTCACTGGCATTTTCCTTCCTCCTTGCACAAAGTCTCTCATGAGATTTCTGCTTGATGCACAGTTGTGTTTTTTTTTTTTTTTTTTTTTTTTTTTCTCTTTGTTTCTCACCTTTTCTTTTACTGTCTCACACACAGTTTGGGCTCAAGCATCCTCTGTCATGATCTCATTGAACAGTCCCTTTGTCTGAGCAGGTAACTCATGACCTGCTCCTTGTCAATGCAAGAAATTGGCCTGCTCAGGGCAGGAATGCTCTCCTCAGAAGGGCAGCATTTCTCCTCAGAAGAGCTGAGACCACTCACCCAGCACTGTGCTCAGCCTTCTCCCAGTTGGAGAAAGGACATCTGCCTTGATCTTTTCACAGAAACAATTTATTTCAAAACATGGCACTGGTTTTCCTTGTCAGAGCACAGAGGATCTCAGTTCTAAACAGCTATTCTGGTCATGTTGAGAATCTCCTGAGCACAGAAAAGCAGGATGGCAAAATGTGAGCAAATGCAGATGATGTTTGCATTCCAGGACGAGGAAGAGGCAGCTCCATGGGGCAAGTCAGCCCTGTGGTCAGAGGGAATACTCTTGGGACAAGTGGGTTTCTCTGGTCCTGAAGAATCCAGATACCTTCTTTGAGGTTAGAGAGAGACAAAAATATACTATAAACAATGCTAGAGTATGAAATTTTTGTTTCTTTGCATATTTTTAAACCATATTTCCATCCAATCTCTTCTTCCACTTAGTGCAGAAATACAGGTGTTTTGTCACAGGCCTCCTTCCTGGCAAGTAGGGAAAGAAAGATAATCAAAGCTGTATGGAAAAATGGGAAGAGGAGAATCAGACATCACCCAAGGAGTTCCTGCTTCTTAGAAAGGGGAATGTGCCCTCACTCCAGACTCCACTCTTCCTCCTATCACTCATCATGTCTGTGATTGGGCACATGCTCATCATTGTTTTGATGGTGTCAGAGCATCATCTGCACACCCCCCCGTACTTCTTCTGGGGTAATCTGTCCTCCTTGGAGACCTGCTACAGCTCCACCCTCCTGCCCTGGCTGCTGGCCAGCTTGCTGAATGGGGACGGGACCATTTCTGCTCACAGCTGTATGGCTCAGCTCCACTGCTCTGGCTGCTTTGCAACTACCGAGTGTTACCTGCGGGCCATGATGGCCTATGATTGGGATCTGGGCACGTGCCAGCCCCTGCTCTATGCAGGCTTCATGACCTGGAAGGTCTGCCTTCAGCTGGTGGTTGCACCTTGGCTACGTTGGTGTGTGCAACAGTCCCAGTCTTCTTATCCCAGCTGAAGTTCTGTGGCCCCAGCGCAACTGACCACTTGTTCTGTGACCTCTCTGCTGGAGATTGCCTGCAGTGGCACCAGCGTGGTCACACTCACATCCTTCATCCTCTCTTTCCTGAGCGTTGTCTTCCCTTTCCTGTTTGCTTTTGCATCCCATGTGTGCATCATAGCTGCCATCCTGAGGATCCCATCCAGCATGGGCAGCAGAAGGCCTTCTCCTCCCACTCCTCTCCCCTCATTGTCGTCTCTCTTCTCTCCTGCACCCTCCTCACTGTCTACCTGCTGCCCAGAACAGCCCCGCTGAGGCAGCTCAACAAAGTGCTCTCCCTCTTCTGCCACTGTCCTCACGCCCCGGTCAATCCCCTCGTCTACAGCCTGCGGAACAGGGAGGTCAGGGAGGACATGAGGAAAGCTCTCAGGAAAGACAAGGCCTGCACCCAGGGTGCACAGTAATGTTCCACCTGCAGGGATGAATGCTTTGTGCTTCTGTTTTATCTCAGTAGGGAGGCCTTGGGCAGGCCTATGGTGTCCAATGCCCCAAACATTGTTTTAGGAGGGTGTGATATTGAGCACGTCTGTGGGATGGGAAAGGTCGAGACATTTCCTTTTAGAGAGGTCATAGAATCAGAATCAGAATGGTTTGGGTTCGAGGGGACCTTTAGAGGTCACCTGGTCCAATCCCCCTGCAATAAGCAGGGACATCTTCAACTAGAGCTGGTTAATCAGAGCCCTGTCCAACCTGACCTGGAATCATTCCAGGCATGGGGCATCTATCATCGTTCTGGACAATGTGTTCCAGGGTTTCACCAATCTCATTGTAAAAACTTTCTTCCTTATATCTAGTCTGAATCTGTTCCCTTTTAGTTCAATACACCTACACACAGGGCTGTTCAGAGACACGAGTCCTTCCCTTGCACACGCAGAGGCAGTGCACTGCAGGAGCCATAGTGTCTCTCTGAACTCCTGCTGCCACCCCCAGAGGCTGGGAGGCACCTCAGCCCTGCGCTGCTCGCCCTGCTCTGCACCCGTGGGAGATGCCCCGAGGCACGAGGAATGGACACAGGGACCGTGGTTCAGGGAAGCACCTCCCAGTGCTGCATTCAGGGGGTTCCCCAGGGGATGTGACTCTCTACATGAAGTGACCTCAAGACACAGTCAGTGTCACAGGCCTTCATGGCACCCCCAGGAATAGCTGATGGATTTTGTGCTCACTCAGATTTATTTCAACACACACACATGATGTGCAGGTTTATGGTTTGTAAAATGCAAAGTTGAACTTCTGACATAATCATTTGGTGTCACTCTGTCGAAGGATAAACAGCCTCTCTGTGCTGCAGTGAGAGGCCCGTGCTGTAAATGGTGGTGTTATTGTATGGTCTGTGACAATTGCCATGGGGCAGCTTCCCCGGGGTGCCCAGCGCACATGGGCACAGGTTAGTCCCCACTTTGCTGTTCCTTCAGGTCTCTCACAGGAGCCTGGCTGTACGAGGACATTGCTGTTTGCCCCCACCCTGCACACACAGACACACACTTCCACTCCTCACTGGTGGTTTCTCTCCTGGGCTATTTCCTGGGCATGGTCTTGAAAGCAACTCTGGAAGCAGACCTAAGCCTTCATGCACTGCCCAGAGAAGATCCCCCTGTCTGATGGAAACGCTGTCATGAAGGCCAGCTCTGTCACAGAAGTGCCCACTGCCTGTCCCTGCCTGCAGTTAAAGGACTGCCACACCGTGGGACAGTGACCACAGCACAAAACCACTCAACATCTTAGACCAATACAAGGGCTGACCTAGCAGGACCAGAGAATGACTTGGAGGAAGGATCTCAAAGCATGTCTCTACAGTGTCCTTTATTTTGTTTAACCACAATGAGAGCATGGATCCTCATTTACACAGACTCTGGGTCACACAAAAGATTAATAGATACTTAATGAGAACAGGGAAAAATAATGACACTTTTTAGCAGAGAACATAACGTAAAGTAAAACAAAGAAAACAAAAAAAATCAACCCCCAAAAGACCCAACAAAAAGCTACAGACTGGGATCCTGTATGCAATCAGTTACACTTAGAGTTGTTTACAGAAGACACATATTTTATTGTTTCTGAAATTCATCCTGTTACCAGTTTCCTCAGGGCATCCTTCATCTCCTGGTTCCTCATGCTGTAGATGAGGGGGTTCACTGCTGGAGGCACCACCGAGTACAGAACGGACAGCACCAGGTCCAGGAATGGGGAGGAGATGGAGGGGGGTTTCAGGTAAGCAAAAAATGAAGTGCTGATAAAGAGGGAGAGCACAGCCAGGTGAGGCAGGCACGTGGAAAAGGCTTTGTGCCGTCCCTGCTCAGAGGGGATCCTCAGCACGGCCCTGAAGATCTGCACATAGGAAAAAAGAATGAAAAAAAAACACCCAAAAGCTAAACAGACACTAAGCACAATAATCACAAATTCCCTGAGGTCGGAGTCTGAGCAGGAGAGCTTGAAGATCTGGGGGATTTCACAGAAGAACTGGTCCACAACATTGCCTCCACAGAAGGGTAAGGAAAATGTGTTGGCAGTGTGCAGGAGAGAATAGAGCAACCCAGTGCCCCAGGCAGCTGCTGCCATGTGGACACAAGCTCTGCTGCCCAGGAGGGTCCCGTAGTGCAGGGGTTGGCAGATGGCAACATAGCGATCATAGGACATGGCGGTGAGAAAATAAAACTCTGCTGTTAACATGAAGACAACAAAAAAGACCTGTGCAGCACATCCCAAGTAGGACATGTCCCTGGTGTCCCAGAGGGAATTGGCCATGGCTTTGGGAACAGTGGTGGAGATGGATCCCAGGTCGAGCAGGGAGAGGTTGAGGAGGAAGAAGTACATGGGGGTGTGGAGGTGGTGGTTGCAGGCGATGGTGGTGATGATGAGGCCGTTGCCCAGGAGGGCAGCCAGGTAGATGCCCAGGAAGAGCCAGAAGTGCAGGAGCTGCAGCTCCCGTCTGTCTGTGAATGCCAGGAGGAGGAAGTGGGTGATGGAGCTGCCATTGAAAATTTGCTTCCACTGGTCATTGGGCATTGTCCATGGAGGAAAAGACATTGAGAAGTTAGGGTAGACTTCTCTGAGATAAAATCTGCTCTGTATCTCTCAGCAACTGACTCTTCCTTTCAACCAAGACCTTTGGCCAGTCCCTCCTGTGAGCTCTGGTTGGTGCTGGCTGAGGGTGCCCCATGGAGCAGGGGCTCTGCTGTGAGCTCTGGAGGAGTCGGTAGGGCTGGACAGTTATAAATAAATCAGAACACTGATAATCATACATTAAATCCACTTGTATTATCAAAGAGGTTTACAGTACTGTTTCTCCCATTTCACCTGACTGCAGGGTGGAAACATGGGGATTTAATTTTTTACTGTTCTAGTTGCACCACTATAACTGAGGAGTGGTTTCAAGGCAGAAATTCTTGGCATTTCTGCTGAACTCCTACTGGAACATTGTGTTTCTTGAGTGGCCAAGGGGCTGTCCTGAAATTCAGAGTGAGGTGAGGCATTCTGTCCCTCAACCCTGGTCTCATCTGCCCTGTGCTGGCACTGCTTTGGGCTGGATGATGATAGACACAGCTGTTCCCCACAGAAACAGGGCACTGCTGGGACTAGAGGAATCCAGTCTCCAAGCACAGCTCTCCAAAGCCCTCAGCCTCTCTCATCACACCTGAGGAGGATCTCAGCTCTCCCCTCCCAGCCAGGGACACAGAGGGCTCATTGCAGCTGCCTGTGTGCAGATGCCCAGCAGCATTTCCATGGCCTTAGCACTGAGGTGTTTCCTCCCTGGGGCTGCTGGATAACACAGAGATGCCCTGGGAAAGCTGTGCCCACCTGGAGAGAAACCTGCAGCCCAGCACGATCCCCTCAGAGCAAGAGTTGAATGTCCTAAAGAGTGAGTGTTCTGAATGGAGTATTGTGTCCTTTGTTTTGCCCTGAGCCCACAGATTATGAGGAGACTTTACTCCCATGGACACATCTGCACAGCAGGACCCACAGGGTTGGGCTCTGAACTGCAGCTTAAGCCCAGCTCCCCATCCCAGCAAGTCCAGGGATGACAGTAAGGGGAGCAGATACAGGAGGGGGAAAATGGACAAATACTACAGAGCTGGTGCTACTGGAGGCAGAAGGGGACAGGCGGTTAGGTATTTGCTAAGTTTTTTTCCTTCAAAGCTGAGGCTGCTGGGAAGGTGCCCCATGGCCTTCAAGGCAGAGACTGTGTTGAGTGGGAGGGGACAGCAAGGGGTTGCTCCATGGAAGGCATCTGCAATGTAGGGGATGGCAGCGAGGTGCCTAAATCCCCCCTCTCACTGCATTCCTGACAGCAACTCCATCTCCCTCCCTGCCCATGTCTCTGGTACCTGGGGCTGTCCCTGATGAGACCTACTTTTTTGTCCCCTTATCTCCTCCCTGTCACTGCTTCCAGCCCCCATCCCACGCACAGTGTGCTCAGCTCTGCCCTGCAGACCCCTCCTGGCAGCAGGACACTGCCCAGGGACAGCTCTGTGTTGTAGAGTCCTAAGGAGCAGATCAGATAAATGCCGAAGAGACCACAAAAGCAAAGGGATTTTGTAGTCAAAGGATTAGGTGAAGAGGCTTTATCAGGTTCCTCAAAGACCTACTGATCTGAGGGCTTTCTCAGAGAAAGGTGTCTGCATTGGAGGGGATGACAGGGAGATTTACAAATTCTTCCTCCCATGACATTTATGGTTGCAGTTTCCTACAGCTCTCTGCCCATGTCCCTGCTGCCTGCAGCTGTGCCTGCTCAGAACTCTCTCTGTCCTCAAATTCCTTTCCTATCAGAGATGACAGACTTCATCAGCAACTGCTGCATGCTCAGCTCTGACCTGAAGAGACCTCCCAGTTTCAGGCACTCACTCAGTGCCTCTCCCCATTTGCAGGCAGTAAGGAGCAGGTTAGACAAACATTGATGAGGAAAAAAAAAAAAAAATGATGTGGGTGCTCTCTGTAGGTAGGGGAGTGGGTAAAAGCAGTTTATGTGGTTCCTACCAGACCTACTGATCACTTGCTGTAACGGTTCATATCTCTGTCTCCCTCTCCAAATGTAGCAGCTCCTTTTCCCTTTTCCCTGAAACAGCAAGAAACAGAAAGCACAAACCTTTAAGGTAGCCTCTGCTATGATCTTCCTCTGGAGGAGTCCCCCTGAAACACCATGAGCAGCTCTGGGTGCACACCCTGGCTTCACCCCTTCACATTTGTCTGACATGCGCCCCTGGACTGGGGGTCCTCCTGACAGATCCCATAGGCTGAGGGTTATGACAGCTTTAGGAGACCCTCCCAGGAACCGCAGCTGCATTGCCCTGCTCCCAGACACTTACCACATAGAGGCCTATGAAGATTTCTCCCGCAGTGAGATCTCCTCTGCCCTCCCAGCCCAGGCTGCCTTGAAGCTGTGTGTGCCTCGCTGCTCTGCCCTGGGTGCCTGCAGGCAGTGCCCTCAGCCCTGCTGCGCTTTGCAGAGGAGCTGCTCCTGGGCAGAGCTGTCTCTCTGCAGCGCTGCCCACTTGCCAGGAGCTCCCTCCGGCCCAGGAGCCCGGCCCAGCTCAGCACCACAGCAACAGCCCAAGGTGCCACTTGCTGTGGCCCCTCTGGGCTCCCTCCAGCTGTCCCTGGGGCTCCAGGGAACCTGCTGTGACACAGCCTGGTGCAATCACTGATAATTTCTCCCTCAGCTGGCAGAGGCACTACTTTCCAGCACTGTCATTTCTCCTACCAAATTACAATTTGGTTCCTATAATCAGTTTTTATTGTCCTATCATTACATAGGACATGTAGGCTCTTATTGGGAGGCACCTGTAGCTGGGCTCCTTTTGTCATCTCAGGTCATGATAGAGATGGAGATCAGGAGTGAGCTGTTCAGACACAGTTAGAGATATCTGAGGGTCAGGAGGTGTTCCAAGAAATGTGCAGAATACTGCAAGCTCTAATGGAGCAATGCTGAGAGACAGGACAGCATCTGGGGGCATCTTCTTGGAGTCTGAAGGGGAACATCTTTGGCCAACAGCAATGACAGCAGATGCCCACATTTAGTACAAGTGACTTTGCCACTGTCTGTTTTGTTCCGGGCAGCCTGTGCAAGGATTCCTCTGAGCAAATGGAGTCGTGTACATTTGGGAGAGCTCAGTTTCTCTCTGTCTTTTCCATCAGCTGAATTTACTTGATCCCCACAACAGTGGTCTCATGAACACCTCCACATTGCTTCACCAATCTTAGGGCATTTATGCTGTTTAATGCCAAATAGGGGCTTCCAGTGTTATGTGAGGTGCCAAGGCTCTCTCACACAGCTCCATGGGGTTGGCTGGGACAGCACTGGTACTATACATGCAAGCAATCTCCCTCCAGATCGGGGCTGTGACAGACCCCCCGCACAGCACTGCAGACAGATTCGGGGCTGCTGTGCAAGCCACCGACTGCCACCACTGCAGCGTGGCAAGGTCTGTCCCTTCTCTATCCAGGAGATGGAGAGCAGTCCAGGAACACCAGGCACATCACACTGCGGTCTCTACACAAGTGTTTACCTTCTCAGACTGTTGGGTTTTATCTCCAACAAACATTACCCACCCCCTCGATGATGCAGTCAAGGAAATGACCAACAATTTTCACACCAGGCCTGTCAGCAGAACCTGGTTGTTCATGGAGATCACCTCCACATCCAATGATGTCCATCCCTAGCAGAGAAAACAGCAGTAAAATTAACCTGAATCTATCCAGGACTGCACTTGCCAGTCCTATTTCTATCACACGTAGATGGTGAGAGAGCTGAGATACTTCATGTCCTCTTTGCCTCATCTTTCACCAAGTTCTCCTAAGCAATTGTGCTTCAAGGCAGGACTCTAAAGGAAAACAGCTGAAGGTGGGGAGGAATCAAATCAGGGGCTACTTGAGCAAACTCAAATGTCACCTGTCCAAAAGAACCAGATTTATCAATCTGTCTATACATAGGGGAAAGAAAGTGTCATCAGCTTGCTCGTTCTTGTCCATGGCCTATGAAAATATTTACGGGAATGTACAGAACAATGTCAAAGTTCTGAAAATGAACTCCTCTTACACACTGATTGCACCAAGGACTTTTCTGGAAATGTTGAAACTTTTGCCTAATATCTTCACTCCAGATTTGATGCAATTGATCACAAATTCATGGCCACCACCTCCAAGATACATGAGGGTAGATGAAACCCTGATATGGGAGAGGGAAATGTGACCCTGGGCTGATGGGAGACTTTCTGGAGGGGTACCTGGTGGACAGGCAGTTGAGAGAACTAATTTCTCTCCCTTGAGTAGAAGAGGAAGCCTGGACAATTGCACCCAAGCTGTCACGTGTTGGACGAGAAAGAGAAGTGAGTGTATCTAGATGTTGCAGAGCCTACCTGAAGATGTACCTGTAACCCAGATACACTGGGCTGAGTGTGGATTTGGCTGTGAAAAAGGGGGTGATTCATTTCTTTTGGTTCTTTTATTCCCTCTGTGAATTGAGGGAGCTCATGACTTGAGGGTGTGAGTAGATGGGAGTGAAAATGGACAGAGTCTGGATCAGGGAGCGCTCTGGGGGTTCTTGGGATCTCTGCTTGACAGGAAATATGATTTTCTTTGGTATAAGGCCATCTCTGCTATGGAAATTGGACAGCAGACGAGGGAAGTTGGGCTTCATATACAGCAGAGATGTGTATTTTATGTTTTATTAAACTCTGCCTGCATTTGGTTTTGCTTTTTTGGCAATTAAGAAACATCCTTCTGTGTCTGCATATAGCTTGATTCCCAAGTATGGCAGGTAAGAGTTGGTGTGAATGTGCTGAAACGTGCAGCTACAGCCTGTTGTGGAGAAAGCTCAGATTGGAACAAAGGTGCTGTAAATCCCAGGGGGCTGGTGAGAGACATGTGGGGTTGGAGGTAGGGACAAA